GAGTGGTTCTGTGTTCTGTCACCAGGAGCCCCTCTCCACCTGGTCTCTCAAACTGAGTATGCAAAACGGAACCAAGACCTCTGGGACCTCTGCTTTGTTTTTCATTTCTTAATTTTGTACACCATCCCCAGAAGCATCCGAGAGCCTTACTGCATCTCTGAACTGTGACATTAGCATCTCTCTTGTGTGTCCGGGTGATAACTGCCACGCGGAGGTGTTTTCCTAGCAATGCCAGTATCTGTGCAACTTGCACCCACCTTCCAGACCCCTGACACAGGCCACGCACACGCAGACCTGTCATTCTGGTGCAGGATTCTGCAGAAGCCTTGAAGTGGTTTTAGAAAAATGAGACTGTTTACCCAGCACAAGATGTTATCATCACAAGAGCACTTCAGAGGCAAACAGCCTAGCCTCTCCTAACGCCCGTTGCCCGGGGCAGCGTGCACTGCTTGATTTCTGGAGGGCTAATTAGTCTGAGTTAGACCACTCCACTGCTGCCTACGTCAGCAAATGAGGTCCCACCGAGGTGAACTGAATAGAAATGATGTGCAAGTAACTGGATTTAACTCCTGAAGCCCATGATGTAATTACTCCTGGGGCAGGATGACCAGCTGCTCACTGGCTGTGAAGCTGGTGAAATAAACAGCCTTGTGGTCTTAGAATACACACGCGCTGGGGTCCTTGTTCGGGTGGTTGGGGGAGAATCTCTAGGGATTCCCCTGCCTAAAACCTACCCCATTTAGTCTTTTCAGGAGGCCCTGTCTTTAATAGAAGATTCTGGGAGGTGTAGACTTGGCGTCTACACTCCAAACCGGCTCATTGGTTCCTGGCTGGATTCTCTCCAGCAGGCATCTAGCTCTTGGTTTTGGTGTTTCTAAGAGAGAAGCTGAGTCTGAAAGTGCTCAGGGTGACTGCAGAAAATAAGCCTGGGGGTCCTTGTCCTAATAACCCCCGTGAACTTGATTATCATTTAGATTACTTGTTCAGTACGGGAAAGGAAGCTGTGCATCAGCTGCAAAGAAGAACGCCACACGGAAAAGGAGCCCAGGCCCCATAAACAATCAGTTGTGCTGGCGTCCAGGGGGTGCTTGCTGTCTCCCGGTGACAGCTGTCTGCATGTTGAGGCCACCTGTCCCCTGTCCCTGTGTGTGTGCGCACACATGCACACGCACACGTGTGTACACACCTGTGAGGTGAGGGCTTAGCATAAATACCCGCACGTGTTTGTAGAGATTAATGGGATGGTGGGACCTGGCTTGTCCTCAGCATCTCCCCAGTGCAGCCTGAGAAGAACCACAGTCTTGTAGCTGACTGTTTGCTGACTGTGAAACAAGCT